GAATTTGAGCCTGAACATTCATTGAACTGGGTTGAATTCTAGATAGGTGGTTAGAGACCATAAGCCCAGGGGGAGGCTTCTGATGGGCTGTTGGGTGGCCACAAGGAAAAGTGGTGAGATTAGTATTTTAGTAGCTCTGCCTATAGTCTTTGAGCCCTGACAGATTTTTGACAAATTCACCTGCTTGCCAACGGCTCTGTAATCATTGTGTCATTTCTTATACAGGAAGGCCCAGAGTCTTCAAATGAATCAATTTCTCTTGCATCTCAGATGCAGATTGTTGTTGAAACCTGAGTTCTGTTTACCTCTTTCACTCTGCATATTTTAGACCCACTGAGAAAGAACTGCTGGTTGAGTTGCTGGTACCAACTCTATCTGCATATTTCTTCAGTCTCTTCTGTGTCTGTCTGTCTTTCCTTTCACAGCCAAGCCCTGGTCGCTTTGTTAAATGTCACAATAGCTTGGCTGAAGCTGAAAAGGGGAAATCCATATATGGTGTTGATAGTAAGGAGAATTTGTTAAGTTGAAGAATAACGAGGGCTTTTTTTTTTAATAGGGCTTGTGGCTGTTAGAGTTTGTCACCATCAGGCCTTGTAGCAATATTCCTTTTTACTGAATTAGCTGGTCTTATGATCCAGTTCCTCATTTCTACTCACTGATGTCTTTAAAATTTCAGCAAAATGAAATTCTTTTCCTTTTTCTTCCCTCTGCCCTTTTTGGACAGATCCTATTCCAAGGAAAGTTTAAGAAGTATACACTTGGCAATTTAAGATGAGGGTGTGGAAAAATGTATTTTTTCATCCCTTGAAAGCATTTCTAGTCTCTTAAATCATAGCTGGTTAGCTAGAAAATGTGATGGTTACTAACCTCGGTAATAGAAACAGCTATTTCATTTTAAATCAGCCTTGCAAGTATCTAGCTGCCTTGGGCAAGTTATTATTTGTATCAGGCAAATAATAAAGAATTCTCGCTTCATCTTGCCACTTGAGTACCCTTTGTGGAGTTGGTGAGTTAACAAAAAATTTCCGTGGACTAATAAATTTGGGGTATTTGTTGGCAAGGCTATTGAGATGCTTAAAGTTTCATGTGACATACTGCAGAAATTTGCTTTCATTGTGATAACTTTTAAAGGGTTGTGGTTTTTTTTATTAGTCAGAAAAATTTATCAATGATCCCTAGACACTTGGAAATTTCCAACTTTGAGAGTTGAGTTATTTGCATAATCAGTGAGCAAAAATAACCTTAAATTGCTTTTTGTTACATAGCAACTTAGAATAAATTTTCACAATTCATATTAATCATATCGTATATGTGTCAGAGGCACAAATGGTTTAATACATTTTCTTATTTGTGATATTCAATGTGATTCAGAATGAATTCTGAATATTTATAATTGGCTAGTATGTGTCATATACCTTCTTACTCTCAGCAGTGTGTGAATAATTGAAAAGTTGCTTCATTCTGCCGTGGTTAAAAAGGATGGCTGCATCTCTCTCTCTCTCTCTGCCATCAGCAAGCATACAGCAATTAACTCAAGAGTCTGTAACCCCAGTAGAGTAAACAGCCATGCTCCAGCAAGGAAATTTCTAATATCATTAGCATACCTGGTTAGAAGGTCAGAGAGACAGGGCTGAAGGAAGGGCAGGTTTTTATCATTATTGGCCTGAGCTCAGGGTGACTAAACAACTGTCCGAGAATCCACCTGTGCAAAGAGGATTAACCTTCCGTATCCCCGGGTATCCTCAACACTACCCATCTTTCAGGGAGCTAAATTGTGACCTGGAATATTTGTTGTTATTGTTATTGTTGTCATGATGTTATTGCATCTTTGATAATTGGCTGAGTTTCTACCTCCTACCATTTACCTTTACTTGATTACAGAATTCCCAGCTCTTGTGTGAGTATGATGACCAAGCTTAACCTCAGAGAAGAGATTAAAAAAAAATGTACCTCCCTTGGTTCTTTGCAGCAGTGAGGGCTATGGGTATGGAACATTACATATAATACTGTCATATTTAATTGTTGTATTGGTTAGTTTTGCTATGCTGCTTTTTTTATTCTTTTTTAACTCTTTGTTATGAGGAATGGGTCTCTGGATTTGGAGGGGTAAAGTTCCATTTAGGAAGGAACATATGTAAAACAAATCAATAAAATATCAATAAAAATTAATTTTTTAAAAATCCCCAGCATTGACAGAAATGGGACCTGCAACAGACAATGCAACTTTAAAATGAAACCTTCCCATTTCACTAGGCCCCACCTTTACCCCACTGAACTCTAATCCCAGTTTATATTCTCATTGCTTCTGCTATGCCATGGTCTCTCCTTTATGGTTTGTACAGTAAATAATTCAGATAATACAAGTTGCATGAATTCTGCATTCTCATATTTTGCTTTTGTCCATTTCCATTATTATATCTCAGAGTACCTTTTTAGTACTAGATTTTAGAAAGAGTTAAAGGCAATTGACATTAAATTTATAATTGTTTAAATAATTGAGAAGGCATAATAAAGTTTTGATTTTAGTTGAATGGTTCATAATTTAGGGAAGAGGACAGAAATAGCATAACTAAAATAATTTGTTGGATGGTTTTGGGGTTATGTTGTGGTTCTCTTCTTCTCCTGCCCCCTCCCCTATTACTTAGTGTTTCCTTTGAATTCATGTAAATTTTTTCTTTTCTTTTTTTTTTACCTAATCTTTGACTGGATTAGCAATTGAAAAGTGAAAATGCTTAAATAAACAATTCCTGATCCTCATTTGTGTATATTTCCCATTTTTGTAACCAAGGTCATTGCCTTAACAAACCTTTCTCAGTTTGATATTATTTAGTATTTTATGATAATTGTAAAGGATGACATTAAATTTTGATGCTTCATGAATTGGAAGAGCCAACAAAGTAACACATTTGGCATCTAAACCAGATTAGTTGTGTTCCGGGAATCTCTGTTGAACATTAATTTTCCTTGCAATTCAAAACTGAAAGTAAAAGCAATAGCGAAAGTGTGTTTCTCAAGACCATGTCTTGAGAAAATTTGGAACTCAAAAATTTTTTTGATATGGTTGTTAAAAATAGTCTTTACGTGTAACTGGGGAAAAATAAAGTATCATTTTTAAAAAAAAAGGCCATGTCTTAGTGGTTTAGAGAACTGATAATTTTTAGTGTTCATTGTATGTCACACATACTGATGCAGAGTGAAGTGAACAGAAGCAGAACAATTTATAGAGTAACAGTGACATTGTAAAGAAAAACAACTTTGAAAGACTTAAAACTCTGATCAGTGCAATGACCACCATTGTCTTTGGAGAATCTATGATAGAGCTTGTTACCCACTCCTGACAGAGAGGTGATGGACTCAAGGTGGGTCATACATTTTTGGACATGACTGCTGTGTAGATTCATTTTGCTTGATCATGTATTTATTACAAGGTATTGTTCTTTTTTTCTTTTTCTTCCTCCTTGGCTTTTAATTGGGGAGAGAGTGTCAGACAGCAAAGGGGTTAGTAATTGTGATACCAAAAAAAAAGTCAGAAGGAAATGTAGATAATAATGTTGAAAATAATGCATGGGATTTTTGTTTTTGTTTTTATGGTTTGAAACACAGATCATGGTTTTATATGCAGCCCTCTTTTGTGTTTTTATATATACATATATAGAAATAGTCTATTTTTGATGTTTAATTTCAGAATTAAAAAAATTCTAAGTTCCATATAACTTTAATTCTATGATTATACAGGGCTATAAAAGATAAAAATTGAAAGGAAAAAACAAGAAAATCTTAGAGAAGATGGAATAGAACCATGTGCCAAGTATGGACTTGACACACAGTTACATGTCAGGGTTCCTTGGAACAATGTCCTGAGGATAGAGGACCTTCAGATCTGTGAAGAAAATGAAATGTGCCTTACAGCATATTCAAAAGTACTTTAAAACTCCAGCCTCACATGCTGAGTGTCTCCATTAGGCGTAACTAGATTAAGATTCAGCAAGGGCTAGGATGAGGGAAGGGATACTTCCAAGAGCCACTGTTGAAGAAAAATAAGAATATGGGAAAATTGTCTTTCAGATATATGAAGGGTTTGGACTGTGAAAGGAGACCTGCACTTAATTGTACCTTCTAGAAGGTACAATTAGGACCAGTGGTAGGAGTTATAGGAAAGCTGATTTTGACTCACTATAAGGAGGAACTTCAAAGAGCTGTTTTTAAAATATGAGATGAGGTGGGAGGGAGAAAAGGTGGATTTATGTTCATTGGGAAATGTTAATTTAAATGAAAAATTTTAAATCAAATGGACTGCCATGAGAAGTAATGAATTTCCCATCACTGAAGAGCTTCAAACAGATTCTGATGATGACTGTTTGTCAGGGATGTTGAAAAGAGGATTCATTTTTCAGGTAGGAACTAGACTAGGTGGTCTCCAAGGATCTTTCTAGTTCTTAAGTGCTTGTGATGCAATGAGTCAAGCCATGCCACAAACCTAAGAACGCTTAGTTGTGACCATGTAAAAAGGGATGCCCCCAAAATTCTAATATGGATGACCTCTGTTCTCATTCTTTTGCCTATCCTTCAGTCTGTGTTAAGGAGAGTTTGTGTTTGAGTTTTGCATTAAAAAAAAAATTTAATGTACTAAACCTGCATTTGGAGCCTTAAGGAAATGTCTCTTTCTGAATTCTAGATTCATAAAAGTATATAAGATATTCATGAAAACGCATTTATTAAGGGGTAGATTCCAAGTGTAAGCTAAGAAAAGGAGTTTGTAGTGATGATGCTCTGTATTTGTAAGGCCCTGGGCTGTGAATATATAAGGTAAATAAAGTGAAGTTAAATATAAAACACATGTTAAAAGTATATATATTTAAATTTGGTTAGTTTTTAAGCTTTGAAAAATTTTTGTGTGTTTTATAAATGATGCATGTAAAATGATTATCACTGTGAATAGCATGAATAATAAACTAAATACAGATTTCATAAAATGTATTTTTCTTTCTTTTTTGTTTTAGTCAAATATGAAAGTCAAGCCAGTAAATATTGGAATAATTTTTACAAGATTCATAAGAATAAATTTTTCAAGGATCGTAATTGGCTGTTGAGGGAATTTCCTGAAATACTTCCAGTTGGACTACAGACTAAAGAAGAGAAGGGGAAAATGTCTTGGGATCATGTAAAAACTAATGCCACAGACTCTTTCTCAAAAATAGACTGCCCAGCCATGCCTAAAGGAGTAGAGACTTGTAAAAATGATTCTGTTGGTGATTTTGCCTACAGCCAAAGTGAAATAAGGTCTGGTGACAGCCAACATCCTAAAAAGAAGAGAGGAGAGGCTGCAAAGACCAATTTGTTCCCTGGCAGCCATGCCACTTTCAGGATCCTGGAGGTACTGTACTAGGAAAATGTGGGCAGAAAGTCTCAGACAGTGAATAACCTGAAAGTGGACAATCTGTGTAATTTTTTTTTAGTGGCCCTGTTTGCATTTAGGGATTTCAAGTCTCTAGGCAAATGAAAAAAGAAAAAAAATAACTGGCCAACAAGATCTGGTTCCAGACTGAAGTGCCTAAAGAAGTTGACATGCATAGAGGATTATGTAAGGGAGTAGAATCAGTAACCAGTACCATCATCGTGGCTATTGTCTCCAGTGATGCAATTTGCAACCCAGTGTGCCTGGCTACAATTTTTTCTCTTAATCTATTTCTCACATTTATTGTATTTAGGTAAATGAAGGAGTGACAGTTCTAGTATGACTACTTCTTGCTTATCTCTTGAGGTAATAGTGTGCTATTCAATACATGCAATACATGCAAAGCATCTATTGTGCTTTAAGGCCCACAGGGTTCCTTCCTGCTAGGTAGATAGTGAAACTGTTATTGTGCCCAATTTGCAGATGGGAAAGCTGAGGCATAGAGAAGATATACATACATCACAAAGCTAATAAAGTGTCAGAACAACTTCAACATTAGGATGATGAAAATCAGAAACCATTCTAAACCTAAAAATGCTTTGGCTAGGGAGACATTTGCTGTATTGCTCTGATTTTTATTTGCCCTCTTTTTTTTTATTTTAGGTTGGCTGTGGTGCTGGAAATAGTGTTTTCCCCATTCTGAATGCGCTGAAGTGAGTATTAGATATTCCGTTAGCAGGCTATCAGGAAAATTATAGAAAGCTGTAGTCTTGCAAATAATATTTAGTGTCTGTGCTTGTCAGTGAAAGCCAACTGAAAGGAGGTAGCCAGCAGAAGAAGAATTGCCTAGTGTTGTGTGTAGTAAGAGGTCACCTGAAAATGTTGCTGAACAGCTGTTCATTCCCCCATGGAAAATTGCTGTAACTTCTTGTTGTTGAGTCATGTCCAACTCTTCATGACAGCATTTGGGGTTTTCTTGGCACAGATAGTGGAGTGGTTTGCCATTTCCTTCTCCAGCTCATTTGACAGATGAGGAAACTGAGGCAAACAGAGTTAAGTGACTTGCAGGGTCACACAGCAGCTACTAAGTATCTAGGTCCAAATTTGAACTCAGGAAGAGTAGTCTTCTTGACTCATGCCATAACTTACAGTTATTTAAAACAACAAAGAACTCTGATGTGCTTGTGTGTTTGTGTGTGTGTGTGTGTGTGTGTCTGTCTGTCTGTCTGCATCTACCAGAATAATACACAATTGGAATCATGGGACATAAAAATCTAAGAACTAGCAGGAACTCAAGAGACCATTCAGCCTTCTTCTACCGGATGTTATAGATGAGGCAACTGAAACTATGAAAGTTAAGGGGCTTGATTACAATCACACAGTAGAATTTTTGGCAGAGCTGGTACCTATACCCAGGTCTCTTGGCTCATAGTGGAAGACTTCCTCACTTCCCCCCACCAAACATCACAGTGTTAGCTGTGAATTTCGAGGCTTTGGAAAGGAAGTCACTCTTTAAGAGTAAAGATGTACTTAGTACATAAAAATAGCTCACATTTCTATAATGCTTTTAAGGTAAGGTCTCCAAAGGGCTCGTTTCATAATAGTCCTGCGAGGTAGATAGCGAAGTTACTATTATGTTCATTTTCCTAGTGAAGGAGCTAACTGGGTGACCTGCCCAGCATCACATGGCTAAGAAAGGTCAAAACCAGAATTTAAACCCAAATCTCTTAATTCCAGAATCCAGCACCATTTATAATATAGTGTTTTATCAGAGAGTTTGGTTTAACACACACACACACACACACACACACACACACACACACACACACACACACTTGCTTCCTGCCTTTGTTACCTGGGGCACGTCTCTTTGTGGCAAGCCTTTCTGGCTCCTTAAATAGGGGATTGGACTAGCTGGGCTCTGAGCGCCCTTCCAGGTCAACATCTGTGATCTTAAGATCCTACTCATAAGATGTTTTATTGAGCATTTTTATTAAATGACTTGAGGTTGAAGGTGGGAGAACAGAACTTAGAAAAATAGGGCATGATGGTGTGGATACTGACTTGACTCAGACGTTCTTTTCCTGATCTGTCCCCTCCAACTCATATACCTTTCCTCTTGAATGTTTTTCCAGGATAAAGAAAACACGTTGCCTCACAGGGCTTTCCAAATCACTTCCTTTCAGTCTTCCAGATACCATTCTTAAAGGAACAGGACTTTGGATCTGTTGGTTTTTAGTGGTCAAACACTGCTTGCAGTTGACAAAATCATTGATTCCTAAAAGAGCTGTTTTGGCTCTACTCCCATTTGGCCCTTCCCTTAGCCTCTCGAATACAGATTTTTTTATCCCCGTATTATCCTCAAAGTGATTTTTTTTCCTTCTGAGCTCATGGTTGTAGGGCCAAGCAGTCCTGTGTAAAGACTATGAGTTTGAAAAGTAAAGTGGTAAATTCATTTCCACAAAAATAGCCTCATGCCTGTGGGCAGTAAATACAGACACACTCTGTACTACTCATTAAGAAATTATTCATATAGTACTTTGTGATTTCTCTTTGCTTATATTTTTTATTTACTTTTGCCAGTGTTTATGCTATGAGCTAGATTAGAAGCTTCCTGAGGGCAGGAGTCTTCTTTCATCTTTCTTTTAGTCTTCTGCAGCCTAGCACAAAATACAGTAGGTGCTTAGTAAATATTTGTTGATTGATAACTTCTAATGCCCAAGCTGATGGTTGTTTCTGTTTTCTAACCTTTCTTACATCTAATGATGATAATTTTTTAAAATGACTGAAAATCCTTTTCTCTTTAGTCTCTAACCCTTGCTTCTTGATAACTTTTTTTTCCCTGAGGATACATACCCACATATTGGGAACTGTTGTTGCCCAGTGAACTGAGATAATTAATTTATTTTCAAAGCAAGGTCAGTTTACTGCATTTCAAAGGAAGGAACAAATATATATTTTTCCCCCTTAAAAACTGAATTTTATTGCATGTGGAAAGTGGAGGATTAAAACCTTGGATTATTGTACTTATCCAGCAATTTGCAGTTACAGAATACCTTACCATAATTAGCCCTCTGAAAAGGAGAGGTCAGATCATTTTCCAAATACTATTTAATTCTTAAACCCCCTGCCAAGAGAGTGCCCAGTATCGTGGTAGATTCTAGTGATATTTACACCTGCCTGCTGGGAATAGGGCCAAGGCTGTCAGCTGGTTTCACAAAATGCCACAGAAAGTTATTGGGTGGTCACAAGTTTCAAACTTAAAACTGCTGATGCAGGAGGGAATTTATTCATTAGCCTTCATGGTAAAGTAAAAGCCTGCTTTCCCCTGGCCCTCACACTGTTCTGGTCTGCATCGTTACCTGTGTCGTGAAGACCGAGAGCAACTACCTTGCAAAACAGAAGGCAAAGGTTCATTCACTTCAGATCAGTGTAATTCCACAAACATTTATTGATCACCTTCCACATGCATGTCTGCCAGTGGTTACAGAGATACATCACAGGACCGTAGGCTTGCAGCTAAAGGGACCCTGGGGGTCGGCTCTTCCAGGGCTCTTCCTTAACAGATGAGAAACTGAGACCCAGAGACGTTAAATGACTTCCCTGGATCACACAAGTAAGAAGTAGCAGAGCTGGGACTGGAATCCAGACCCTTTGGTGCTAAAGCTAGCACTCTTTTTATAGTTCCACATCAGTGGGAAATAGGTTCTGATCTGCAGGGTAATACAGCCTAAAGAGGGAAAGTCAGGTAACAAAAAAAAATGAGGCAGGGCAAGCAAAGGGAGAAGTAATACAAGGGAAGATAATTGCAAGGGAAGAGTCGGGCAAAGTGCTGTAAGAAATATGGGGAGAAGGAGCTCAATTCTGCCTGGGTGGATGAGGAAATGTTTCTTAGGATGGCTCCCATTTGAGTTGGGCTTTGAAAGCAGATGAGGGGGTACTCCAGGAGAGATAATGAGGGTAGGCTACTCCAGCTCAGGGGATAATACAAACAGAGGCCTGGAAATAGGAGACAGCAGGACAAGAACAACAATAGTAGCACGTATGCATATATACACACGTGCATGTGTGTTATACATGTGTGTGCTATGTGCAAATGGATGTATGCATAAATGTGTCAATACCATCCATGTACATTTTAAGGTATATATGCCTTATGGCATATATTTCATATATTTTATATATACACACATACACATATATACACACAAATATGTAGTCTGTGTATCTAAAACATATTTAAATATATCACACGTGGTATGTACATTAAGGGGGGGTGTGCACACATGTACACACACACACACACACCCCTCTTAAAATTTGCAAAGCATTTTCCTTACAACAACCCTATGAGGTAGGCAAATATTATTATTCCCCACTTTAAAAAATATTTTGTCAGTCAGTAAACATATTTAAACACCTTCTGTGTGCTGGGCAACAAAATGTTTTGTAGATACATTTTGGTTTTTATACTACAAACATTCCCCAATAACCACCTGATCATATATTCCCATATTTAAAAAAAAATGTTGAAGAAATCTGTCTGATAATGGTGACCAATAAAAGAGAAGAAGGGTTTTCAGCATCAGTGCCGTGGAACCTGCATTGTTCATTACAATTTATATGAATCGTGTTGTCTTCATTTACATTATTGTAGTCATTGTATGCATTCTCTTGGTTGTGATTTCTTTGCTTCACATCATTTCATATGTGGCTTCCTACATTACTCTGAATTCTTCAAACTTGTCATCCGTTTATGTTAGAAAACTGGGGCAGTTAGATGGCACAGAGTATAGAGTGCTGGGCCTGGAGTCAGGAAGACTCATCTTCCTAAGTTCAAATCTGGCCTTGGATATTTACTAGCTGTGTGACCTTGGGCAAGTCACTTAACTCTGTCTGCCCCAGTTTCCTCATCTGTAAAATGAGCTAGAGAAGGAAATAGTAAACCACTTCCAGTATCTTTGGCAAGAAAACCCCAAATGGAGTCACAAAGAGTCAGACACTATTGAAACAACTGAACAACAAGAAGTTATGGAAATTTTCCAAGGGGGAATGAACAGTTGTTCAGCAATATTTTCAGGTGACATCTTATTAAACATGAAACTAGACCCTAAGACAATTCAGACACAATTAAAGAACTGAACAACAAAATAGTGTAACTATATGTCATAGCATTGACATACCAAGATTTGATCAGCCATTCCCCAGTCACTCCAGCACCCACTTTGTTCCCATTAGTTTTTTGTTTGTTTATAATACTGTTGTGAATATTTTGGTATATATGGGATCTTTCTTCCTATTATTGACCTCTTTAGGGTACATTTTCAGGAATGGTCGACTGGATCAAATGGTATGAGCACTTAATGATTTTTCTCAAGTGACTTCAAATTATTTTCCAGAAAGTTTGGAGCACTTCATAACCCCACCAACAGTGTATTAATATGCCTGGCTTCCCATAAACCTCTCCAATATTAACTATTTCCTTTTTTTGACTGCCTTTGCCATTTTTTTTGACCACAAGAAATATGATGGATGTGAGGTGATAATTGAAGCCATAGAGATGAATAAAATTACCAGGTAAGAAAAAAAGAGGTCCAAGGACAGAACCTTGGGTGTGTAAGGAGGGAAAGAAGGATGAGGAACCAGTAAAAGGTAGAAGAGCCAGAGAAGAAATAGTGAAGTAGAGTAGAAAGAATATACTGCAATATCACTC